CCCAGATGAGAACCTCACGTAAATGAGTATGTTCAGTGCCTTGAAAGGCGCTGCTTGACTGCTGCTCCGTGATTTGGGCAGAGCAACTACTGTGTTGCTGACAGGATTTGGTTTTACTGTAGCTATTCAGGAACCGTTGGTAGTAGTGAAACCCTCAAGAGTCACAGCGGTGCTGAGAGCAGAGCTTTGTAGTGTTTTCCCCGCTTTTTATAGTAGTTGGGGGAGACAGATGTGTGTCAAATTTAAAATAAGTAGCAATGTGCATAAGAAATAATTAAGAAGGGGATGTAGCAGGCTAAATAGGTAGCATAGATGTAGAGTATAGCAGAATATTTAAGCAAGAACGTGTTTCTGCAGTTCGGTGACTCTGTTGAATATTTAGAGCTGTCTGTGAGTTCTTTTACAGTCAAATTCACCCGAGTATGACAAAGGAATTGATTTTTACTCTTCCTTTGTAACAGACCAAGGTTCTTGATTTTTGTTTTTTGTTTGCGAGGAGGAATGCTTTCCTCTGTTGCACAAAGTTTAAACGTTTTAGACTTTAACAAACTTTAAAATAGCAAGTCGATGTTTTTATGCTGTCCTATCAGACCTTTCCAAGTCTCTGGTTCCAGGCATTGAATTGTAGAGATAGCATTACTTGTCATCACACTGGGTACACTGGGTACTTTTTTCAAGTGAAGGCTTAGAGGCTCTTTGGCAGAATAGGATGTGAATACTTACAAACTAGCTGTCTCCCACCAGGTCTGCCTATAAAGACATTTTGTGTTTTCCTTTTTTAAATGTATGCTTACTTATACATACTACTACAATATTCTTTCTAACCTAATAGAGAAAGTATTTGCCGCCTTATATTTTCTAGAATTGCTTATTCCTGATACATTTTTTCAAATTGAATTGATATGCACAAATGGTAAGGCCTCTAATGGCCGTTTTCTGCTGTTTAACAAATGGCTTGAGAAGAAGTCGTTTTTAACAAGTTTGTCAACGTGTATGCTAGAAACATATGTAGAAAAATCCTAGTGTTTGTTAGAGTGCATCACTGAAAAATGCTAACTGCATAAGGCTGTTTTTGTTCTGTTTTGTTTTGTTTCCCTGGGGAAAACATTCATAATATTCCTTTAAAAAAGTGTAATTACAAAAATTGCATAATTGTGCTGTAAGTATAGATATTTTAACACAGCAGACTTTTGTAATGCTAGTACAGTAATAGGCATCTTGGCAAACAGTCTCCATATGGAGAATCCCATCAGCTTGGAAGAATTAGAAAAAATCATCAAAACAGATACGTAGGGTCTTGTGAATATTTAAGTATTCAGAATAGAGAAACACTATCTTTTTTTTGTGTGTGGTCATTTAGGAAAACACTTGTTAATCGAACAGTTTTTGGTTCTGAGAATATCTTTTATAAATTTTTATTATGGGAATGTATTCAGTGACTTTGTTATATGTGAACAGCGACTTGGCAGTGAGCTGATTCTGCTCTGCAGTGCTGCTTGGAGAACGATGCGGTAGAGAAAGTCTTCCCTTTTCTTCCTGTTCTCCATCCCGAAGCCTTCATCCTAACCTGGGTGAGGATTGCTGTTAAGGTTGGAGGGAATGGAGCCCAGGAAATCTCTCGTCCGTTTGAGATACAGCAGCATCAAGGTCTCCCATCATACTTTTAAGGGATATTCAGCAGCTTGTAACTTCTTACACTAATTTTCTGAGTGTTGTCCTCTTACATCCCTAACAGAATTTTTTTTAGTAGCTATGCAGCTGAGGAATTAATAGGGCCGGATAGCATGTGATGCTTAGCAAGCAGATGCAGTGCGAACTTCGCTGTGAGTACATGCTCAGTCTTGACCTACAAAATACTGTACATGTCCGATCCGTAGAGATCGTCATTTGCCACGAATTATGTACTCCCCAATTAGTATGCACAACCGCACCTCAAAAACTGTGTAATAGCCGTCATATTGTTGGTGATTTCACTGTATGGGCCAAATAGATCTGAGCAGAAATTCTGAGGCGGGAAGGGAAACTAGATTAATGCACTACATTTCCTGGCCAGTATACTAGCCTATAGAAGAACGTTATTTACTTAGGGAATTCCCTCTCTTGCACCCATCTTCATTTTAAATGTGAATTGGAAAGATCTTTGTTTTCAAGCCCGTTGTAAGCCTAATTTATTGTGAGATGTTATTGAGTTTGTTTATTCAGCTTTAATTACTTGTGGAAATTATTGTTTAGTGATTCTTAAAATGAAAACATGCGACTCTTAAGTATTAAAAAGATGCTTTGATTTGTACCTGCCACTCATAGAATATGCATGCTATAATGTCTAGCCCTGTGGTAAGAGGTAATAAGCTGGAGGTAGTAGTACTGCAATTATTATGTAAAGATGCAAGGTCTCGGTGGAGCCAGCCCTACTGCTAGGGTTGCAGTGAATGATTCTGCATCTTGAGGGAAGTCTGCGTAATTTCATTATACTGGAATTGAGTGTGAATTCCTGCAATTGATCACTTGAGTCCGTTTTCTTTTTAAGTTTATTTTGCTTCAGGTGCTGACATTAAAATGTCCTTTGGATCCCCAAATGTGAAGATGTGGTTAACAGAGCTAAATAGTACAGTTTTATACGACCGTGCTTTAAAAGTGCCTTCCTGTCCACTTGCCCGTTAGATCTTGCAGAAAATGAGAAAAAGATTGGCACGTAGGAGGTATTTATTTTTACTGAATAAATAGAGAGAAATTAAAAGAAATATTAAACACACAACGAGACATGCGGTTTTCTAATTATCACCTGTCAAATTCTCCTGATTCCACCAACTGTTTCCCTAGGCCGTCTCTTGCGGATCTGGAGACGGTTGCAGTCTAGTAACTCCCGCGCACGTGCGCGCACACACACCCCTCCTTGCACAAGTTACACATTTTCCTGGTGTTTTCCAGAGATTCTGGGCCAACTCCTTCTCCTGTTTGTTCATTGTCCGCTTTACTTTCAAATACAAGCTGCTGCCTCAAGGTTTGCTGCTGAGCCCTCCTCTACTTCCTCTCGGGGAAAACGGTCGCAATCAAGAAACAAGCAGTTCACGTTCAAAAAAAATCCCAGGCTTCTGCAAGGACCGTTCAAACAGACTTTTGCTCTTTCTTCTCAGCATTAGGAATCTCCTTCGCTGGAGATATTCAAAACCCGTCTGGATGTGATCCTGGGCAATAGGCTCTAGGTGACCCTGCTTGAACAGGGAGGTTGGACTAGATGATCTCCAGAGGTCCCTTCCAACCTAAACGATTCTGTGATTCTGTGAATGACTGTAGTTATTCGGAAAGATCAATGCACATCTTTTGGAAGGGATTTTCTGGGAAACCACAAGAAGAGGTGTGGCCAGGGAATTGAATTGTTAGGCAGTGAGAAAGACTCCAGAGCAAGATATCCACATCCAAAGGAGCAGAGGAGACTTTAGTTGCTGAAAGGAAATATTTATCTAGCAAACTCTGCAGTCACATTCCTAGGTGTTTTTGGAGCTGCCTTCTGTTTGCCCTTCCCTACTAGTGTCTTAAAACTGCATTAGGATTTTGAAAAATCTGGTGTCTAGTTTGTTTTATGTATTCCTTGTATTTGCTCTGTGTAGTGTTGCTCTTGGTGAGAATATAACGTGTTATGGAAAACCACTGAACCTCGAACTCGGGCTCAAGAGGAGGAGGAGTCATTTTCAAGTGTTCTGCTTCGAAAAATTTGTTAGCTGTTTAGCCTGTGTCCCACGCTCCTTTACTGACTTGGGATCTGACTTGATTTTCTTTTTGCAAATATTTATGGCGAAGCTATGTATTAGGCTTTAAACAAACAAACAAAGAAAACTGTGTGTGAATGCGTGTTTATTTTCTGTGTGTTTGCTGTGGGGAGTTTCTCTAAGTAGGTTGCACCACGTGAAAATTTTAGGTCAAAACTGCAGTTAAACTCCTACTGCCTAGTTTTCTGTCCCCTTTGGTGGCTATAGCCCGTTTATGGAGGCTTATGAGTTGGCTGAAGCCTTTGCGAATGGAACTGTGTTTGTTCAGCTCAAGCAGCAGACTCATGCTTTTAGGTTTCTGGCTCAAATCCTGCAGATGTCAGTCCATTTCGGTAAAACAACTGATGCGTTTTAATTATAAATCTATCCCTGTCATGCAATTTCACCCTAGAAGTTTGGTCTCAGTTTGCCTGGAGTCTTTTCTGTTTGTCATGAAACCAGTGAAGTTCTGGACAGGTCCGTCTTTGAATTTTGAGACTAGAACTGCATGCAATTTGCAGGGCATCTTGTTCTCTCATTTTTTTACATTTCTATCCTAGTGGAAGCCAGAGGTCTGTACGGGCGTCTGGGGCCCTATGCTAAACAATGTGTTTACACAGTGAGAAAGAGTCCCTGCCCTAAAAAGCACAGATGCTTAAGCATTTTTGCTTCATTTCTGGCAGTGCTAACAGAGGACATTTGGAACTAATTCCTCCTTCACCTTCTCCATAATAACATAAATATGCCTCCCTTCCACGTGGAATTGAAGGTGGAAACCTGGGAGAGAAAAGTGGAGGTGCTATCGGATGAATGGAGAGTAAATTTGTCCAAATGATAGGGTTATTAGCGAAATTGTTAATGACCATTTAATTTCTGAGAACGTTGTATTCTTTACCATCTTGAGACCATGAGCTCTGCACCATACCAAGTTTCAACTGTATAAGCCATTAAATTCCAGAAGCAATGAATTCTGTAGACAGTGTACAGGGTATAGCTAGACATGAAATTGAACTGGAAATACTGTTCCTTATAATTATTAATATGACTGACATTGCAATTTATTTTCTCTTTTTAGTTTAGCCTTCAGAGTTGCTTACATCAAAATACATCTGTTTCTTACCGATGTATGTTAGCCCGGCAAGTCTGGAATAGTTTTGATTTTTGTGGAAAATGCTGCTGCTTGTGTTTTTCTACTTGGTAATTTGCCTGTACACCAAGATGTTAAAATGCATGGCCTTTTTTGGTACCCTGCAGGTATCCATGGAGACACGGATCGGACGCATATTAATGCAGATATGTATCTCACATCTTCACTTACAGGTAAGAGGAGCAGGTAAAATGTTTCTGTTTATGGTGGTTTGGTCACTTTTGGGCTCGTAGGTGTTCTACTTAGAGTCATCATTGCAAGAAGTTCTGCCAGCTCTTTCTAAGTATATGTGAGATATAAAGCTTTTTTTTTTTTTGTCGCGAAAAGGCAAAATGGGAGAACAACGGACGAAAGAGAAAAGATCTTTCTTTGGAGGTTTATACGATGCTGAGTTATAGATGTGTAGGTGCTGCGCTATCCCCAGCGCTCTGAACACCCGAGATAATGCGTCTGGGGAAAGTTATTTGTTGGGACAGGACAGCGTTTGAAACTTTGAAGTTAGTAATAAACAAAATGAAGCGGCTGGAATCTGGCAGAAGAAGAAACAAGCCAAGCATCTCTGCCCTTGCTGTTAAGGGAGTAAGAGTATTGTATTGGATTTATTTTTACGTATGCTTGGAAGGTTTATTCTTGCTCTAGAAGTTAGCTGCTTTATTTTTTACATTAGATTATGAGAGGGTGGTGGGAGGGTTGCTAAAGGTGATGGCTGTTTTTAATTTTTAGGAAATAATATGCAGGTAATTACAGTAATTGTGGTGCTTTTATACTGAAACAGTATCCTGGGCCCTGATCCTTCAAACCCCTCCCTATTTATTGGGGCATGTTTGTCTACAAAGATAGCTCTTTTCACCAACAAGGATATGGTTCTGGTTTATCTCCTGATAGATTAAAAATAGAAGTTTTATTTAATGTATGGACACTGGCTTAAAGAAGTTAAAGCACATGTTTTTTATTTGGCTTAAAAATCAGACTTGTTTAGTCTTTTTATTTTGCCAAATAGAAAAAAATTAAAAAGAAAGATTTTTCTTTGTTCTCATAGTTGCCATATGGTATTAGTAACCAAACCTCCCTTCAGTGTGTTTAATTCCTTTTCCATTTGGCACACATTCACGGTACCCTTGTATATAGCATACTCTCTGTATGATGGTACTGCTCAGAGGAAAAACTCTTTTCACAGGTCACCGGATGGTTGACACACCATTAATTTTTAAGTTTCTGTTAAACAAAGATCTGGAAATCTAGTACTGTACGTGAATTTGTTATAGAGTGCCAAGCACAGGGAAAATTCCTAATCTGAAATCTGACCTTTTCCATCAGTGGGTCACCAAGATGTTTTCAGTCATTGTTGAGTTTCTACCAGTCGAGGACCCTTATGCACTTATTAAGGGTGTCTGTTTTCACAGTTTATATGAACGTATTCTATTAGACGGTGACAATGAATTTGGAGAAATGGAGGTCAGCTGAGGTCACAAGTTGCAGTTATTGGATTTTAACAAGGAAAATTTTTATAAATACAGCTAAGTAGATGATTGTAAAATTGTTCTGAGTACTTCCAGAACTTCTAAAGAGGAAAAAAGCTGTGAAGACTACCTGTCTCCCTGCTCTGCGCTGCTTTATGGCGTGGTGGAATTTTCCACTTCATTTTTACTGTATATTGAAAAATTACAAGCATCATTGCTATTTGCATATTTGTGATTGTGAGGGGCTTAATCTTTAAGATGAAAGCTTCTTAGTATTGGTTATGAGCTGTTCTCTGATGGGGGAGAAGTAAAATGGAATATCATGTTGGTAAAGTAGGAGCTGGCCAAGGACTATACAAGCACTGTCACGATGAAGAGCCAAAGGCAGATATAGTCATCAGTAAATATGCGTGCTTTATAACATATATGTGAGCACGAATACAAGCATTTAGAACTGTGTGCTTGTATTTGTGCATGTATTCACATACGCATCTCCGTATGTATATATGAATGTGTTTTATAAAATGTATGCCCTGTGCATAGGTTAGATTAAACAAGAGGTGATAATAGTGAAGCAGATGTGAGAGTAACTTAATAGTTGCATCTCTGGGCCCAGGTCGAGTTCTGGGACTAGCCGCCTCCTGCCCTAGAAAGTCAGTCATGAAGCAAAATCTCCTGTGGAGCTGAAATAGGATATCCATAAATTTTTACAGTTAAAATGCTGAAAATCTGGGTTGTATGTTTTCTTTGTGTATCTAACAAAGTTAAAGACTTCAGACTTCTGTTGGTTTTGTTTTGTTTTTAAAGTGTTAAATGTGGATATTTTTTAAGCTGATCTTTAAGGATGATTAGATAATCCAGGACCAGATAACTTTTCTATTAAGAAAGTAGATGGAATTATTCAGTTGATTTCTCTGTGCTTTTAGCATTTTGTATCCAACAGAAAACTGAACTGTAGTTTGTCTGTAAAATATATTAGAGTACGTGTTAGGAAGAATGTAGACTGGTATGATATGGTCTTTCAGCACCGCAGATTCAAATACTTGGGAAGTTACTGTAGACCCTTGGGACCAGGAAATATTCTTTTTTTTTTTTTTTCTCCTTTTTTAAAACCTGAAAACAGCTGTTGAAACAATGACATCATGGAGTGTGGCATGACTGTGGAAATTGTTAACAAAGTAAAGCTTCGATAGCATCAAACTACATACAGCGTCAGAGAGTGTGCAATGGTTTGCTTTGGTGTCTAGGATGATTTACAGAGTTTCCTTGGCCATTACACATTCATATCTTTACTGTGTGTCAGCTTCACTTCTAACCAAATAAACGTATATGCTTTTCTTCTGTTCTCGTTCTGAATAACCTCTTTTAATCATGCAGACGTGGTTGCAGACTAAGCTCATGGAAGTGCTTCAGGGAAAGCAAAACGCACATGTTATTTGCACATCTTTGTGGTATTACCACAAATGTGCTTTTGAAAAATGTTCAGAAGATGTAAAATTTCTCGTGTATTCTTTCTGATTGTGTGTTAGATTTGCCAACACAAACTTTGGCAGCTGTGCTTTTAGAGGGGATTGGGGCAGAGAGTGAAGAAGGCTGTACAAATAGTGAGGCTAGGCAAGTGAAACTGTAGACATTGATTCTTGCAAAGTGCATAAGTGGTTGTAGCAGACAGGTGATGTGCTGGTTCCCTGGGGACACAAAAATTGTCATCGTACTCTTCCTACCTCTACAGAGCCCTATCTTCCTGAGATGCAAGAGGCTTAGCTGGCACAAGTTGCTCCATGTGGATTTCCTATCTTCAGCCCCGTTTATTTTTGACTTCTTAGGCAGTTGGCAGCTGTTTATTTTAGCAGTTGTTTTTTTGTTGTTTTAATTAGTCATTTGAAGTGTGCTTTGCTGCAAGTCAGATGAAAGCGGGTTACTACTACAGTGACGTAGTAGATAATTAACTAGGGTGAAAGAAAGCCTACTTTTTTAATTGAGAAACTAGTGTTTTAATTACCTAGGCTATCACAGAACAAGGGAGAATCGTTACAGCATATAGGAATAAGAACAAACTCCAAGACAGAGTGTGGCTGGGAAGCCTCTAGGAGGGCTGGCGCAGCGGTGGCTGGACGCGCGTGGGCTGGCTCCCGGGAGAGTCCCGCACTGTGCAGGGCCAAGAGGCTGGTACCACGGGAGCGGGAACGGTGAGGTGCTGTCTCAGGCTTACCGGAATATAAACACGGCTTGTAAAGTTCTGCAAGTTTTATCTCCTGTGGAGAGGCTTGATGCGTTTTCTCTGACGTCTGTTGTAGGATGAAAGAAGGGGATGAACCACAAAGCAGCAGCAAAACCCCATCGGCTGTCAGGGAAGCCAGTTGGAGAAACAGCCCTATAACAGCAATGAGCTGAAGCAACTTCTCACTTGTGTTTTGGGCAACTGAATTGCTGTTTGGGTGCTTTTCTCTACAACACGTGCAGCCAATAGCTTCAACTTGTATTGCTTTGCTTTTTATGATTGTATGTAGATACATGGTATAGAGAAACTGTAATGTTTGCTAAGGATTTGATGAAAATAGACATGCGCATATGGATGGAGTTTAGAAATACTATTAATGTCTGCAATATCTAATTTCTTTCCTATGGAAAACATCAGTATACATGTTTGAAGTAGTTTTATGCCTACTGGAGATTTTTTATATATATATGTGTGTATGTGTATGTGTAGTGTGCATGTATGTAAATACCCACTCTGTATATTCTCAGATTTTCATCCCTTTATTATCTGATAAAGAGGACTGTGGTGGGTAAAACAGCGCCTTCTGAACCATGCCTCAAAGATATTGCCATATTCTGATTTTGGACAAGTAAGGGTGTCTGTGTCTTTATATTTCAATAAAGTGATGCAGCATGGAGATGACTCAGGTACAGTTAAATGATGTATGTCGTAGACTGCAAATAATGTGTTTTATTCTGTTTTTATTTTAGGAGAGGATGCTGTCCTGCATTTAAATCCACATGTTTCTGCAGCAAAGGTGTCAGTGAAGCTGCCTTCCATGAATGTAGATAACCACACGAGAAGTATCAGCAGTATACATGGGGATTCAGATTCTTCAGGGGCAGATACATTTTAAAACTTATGGCTTTATATGATAGTTGCTGTCTGAAGATTTTGTCACTGGTACATTTGGTATGCCTAGTGTGATAATCTGGATGTTTCATCAAAATTTTGGCCTTTCAGTACTGTTTATTTTCTACCATTTTTCCTTATAACTTTGATATGAAGATGACTGTAAATTTAGGCAATTATTCTGTTTGTGAATATATCAAATATTTTTAAATGAATAAAATGTCACTCTATCAGGAATATTGTGAGTTTAAGTCAGTAAAGGTGAAGGCTAATTAAATACTTATTGTATGTAAACATGAATATGAAAGTCATCTGTATTGAGATCCATGGTAAAATTCTCACTTACCGTTGGAAAAATGTTTGGCTCAGTATAACGTCAGTACTGTCAAAATGTGGAGCTAGAGGAAAATATATTTGAAATCAAGGTTTGCAAGAAAACTATTTTTTTAAAATACTTTCGGAGCTTGTTCATCCTTAGAAGACTGCTAGCACAGTAAGACAGTAGTTCAAAATTGTATGTAAGCAAAACCATTAGTGTTTGTATTGTTTTAAGACGCTTTTATTTTTGTAAGTACTATAAGAATTTGTCAGCATTTTGATGTTTGTTTCCCTAAAGATTTTTTTCCCATCTTGAAACATGTCTGAATGAGCGATTGTATGGATAAAGTTATTTGCTTACATTTGTTTTATGTAAATTCCTCCTTCTCATGAGAAGGATCTAGCTGCCACAGTCTCAACCCTCAGAAGCCCAGTAATCTCTAGTCAGAAATACCATAGTAATAATTTAACAGCAAGAGTGTGTGAACACATCATTGCCACTCTACAAAGGACTGCTTAGTTTGTTCATTGCTTCAGTTGGGACAGCGTGGTCTGTCCAACAATGAATGTGGAGGAAGGTAGGATTGTCTGCCCCAGGCAGCATCTGTGTAAAATAAGAGGAATTCGGAAATGTTCCAAGCAAAAAAAAAAAAAAAAACCTAGGAAAGGAGTTTTTTTTCCAAGCGGGACAAACTCAGCTTTTGCTCTGTTCCTCATCCAATCTGCATTTTCACAGGCTAGCTCTGGAAAATCTGAGATAGTGTGGCTCTTTCACATGAAATCATCTCTCAAAAGCTAAGAAAAAAATACTCCTTTTTGGTTGACTTGTACCTTGTTGTGACATTGGCGCATATAACTTCATCTGCTACAGCTTCACTGCATCCCCAATGAGAGTCGCTTTGTTGTTTCAGATACTCATAACCATGAACAGTTCCCATTACTCTTATTTTATGGAGCCTGCACTGATTTCATTTCTGCCTAACAGAGAAAGATTAAAAGTTCCTCTTGGTTTTATTTCAATCTCATTGACTACAAGGTTCAGTTGATTTGGCTGCAGAATCTACAAGGATAAATGGAGCAAGAGAGAGCTTGAACCATTCAAGGTCAGTAATCTCCAGAGGATTCAATCTTATAGGCAGTCTCTTTATCACATTATAGAGTTGTATTCTTGTCTGTTTTGACAGACATGTAGATAGCAGATTTGGGGGGTGGGGGGGGAGGTAAAAGTGTGGCAGGCTTCATGCAAAGTGGAACATCACTTAAAATAAAAAAAAAAGGTACAAAATGAGACAGCATTACTGGGAGTTGGTTTCCAGCCTGCAGTTTCGTGACCGTTTTCTCTAGTGGTAAAGCTGCTCTAGACATTGCTACTCTCTTCTGTTGCTGGTGGCTTGTCACAGTGTATCTGCAGGGTTGTGCTGATGCAGCTGTCTGAGGAATGGTACTGTAAATCAGGTTATTGACATGATTAATGGTTTAAAAAACCCTTTTCTGGGAAGGTGGAGATGTTTTTTTAACCTGTATCAGTTTGCTACAGCATGGCATCAAAGAGATGCACTGGAACAACTGACAAGAGAATGAAATGTGGTTTGGAGGGCAAGAGCGTCTTAAACCAGCTTTGCTGCAAGAGTTTGCTTCGTGAAACTTAAGTTCCAAGCGCTTCGTGAATCTGCTAGGCTTTTTGTGATGCTGATCTATAATTTAGGTCCCTTTTGTTGCAGTGTAAATAGCAAAAGAGCTGTACTCTTCTGATCTGGGCCTACAGCTCTAGGCACAACTGCACTTTGCTAAACAAAGTACAATAATAGAATTGAGAGCACTTCTGCTCCAGGCAGCTGACAAACTAAGTATAAGACAAGAGACAACAGATGGATACACAGGCAAGGAGAGAGGACAAGGAGACAATGAGACAATCCTGGCCAGTGGCAGAGGCCCTTGTCTCATTGTACTGGGAAAACAACTGTGTCAAGTTTTACTTTCAGCAATGCTGGGCATGACACAGTTCCTCTTGGGTACAAACACATGTAACTTGAACGTGTTGTCATTGTCACTCACTGACTCCTGTAGAAATGAGCTGAATTTTTAAGCCAATAGGTCAGAAAATGCCCAGTGAAGACCATTTTCAGTCTGTTTTCAAAACTCTATATGGAGTTATGCTGATTGACACAGGTTTATGTTCTCTCCCAACTTGACATGACGGATGGCTCTTTTGGGAAGCATTTGGATGCGTAGCAGTGTAGCTCAAAGATCTGGTGCTGGTAGGGACTACACTGTGGCGGTGGGATGTGCTAAGTGTCCATCCCCACTGCAGCCTCCATTGTTTCTGTTCAAGGAGAATTTGCGAGAGGTGAAGAAAGTGCAAACTATTTGCTTTTCCTTCCCCAAAACTGAAGTATCCTGCCATATAAACATAAGGAGACCTCTGTAAATCTGACACGCTATGCATAGATCATATTACAAGTAAGTATTTCTAATCTTAGGAACAAGCTAGAGGCTCTGTGTGGGGTTGGGTTTTTTTTTTTTTTGCTTTGTTTGTTTTTAATCAAACTCTCCATTTTTGTCTTTGAAATGGAAAAAAAATGCATCTTTTAGAAATTTATCTTTTTTTTTTTTTTTTTTTTTTTTTTTTTTTTTTTTTTCTTTTGGATTTAGTCTTGTATTTCGGATTCCTCTAAATAGTTTTCCGGAGTTTGAAATGGTAAGCACATGTTCTGTGAACAGAGCCAAGCCGTGATAAGGAATTCATCTGTCTGTGTCTCAAAGTTCCATTTTGTTTCTACAGCTTTTATGATTGAAAATGCACATTTCTCATGGGCACTCAGAGAACTGAAACAGCATGATTTGCAAGCTTGCTAAATGGATTTCTTCCAAGCAAGTCATTGGGGTATGTCATCAAAGCTTAACAGCATCAAATAGAATTCCATCCAGCAGAAGTATTAAAAAACCCACCTCTATACAGCTATATTTTTCAGTTAATTCTCAGCAGCATAGTGGTGGTGGTGGTGGGGGGGGGGGGGTTATTGGCTTTCAGGATTGTAGTGTGGAAACCAAACCCCTTGCTTTATTTCTTGGTTCAACTGAATTTCAGATGAAGCTTTCCTGAGTCTTAAATCAGGAAACACTAAAACAAGAGTATTTGTTCATGGATTGCACTTGCAGCATATTAAAGTGGAAAACTGAAATGTTGGAACTATTTGTTTTTGCAGGCTATCTTTTCCTGTCTTTGGTAATTAAAATGCAACAATTTGGAAGTGAGGTACTCAAAATCTAATTTTTTTCTCTCCTCCCTCTTGTAAGTAAAAAGAGAGATGCAGTATGATGGTGGCGGTAGCAATAGAGGGAATGCATAGCTCGACAAGGACAGCTCACGACAAACTGGTAGCTAGTTTGTGTGATGCTGGTGACACCCTTCCCCTGTTTAGCTGAGTTATGTTATTTTTTCAGTATGGGTAGAAGAGAATTTCCTGTGCAGACTTAATCGTATCTAAATTGTGGGTAATTGGACAAAGTGAGTTTTTTTTTTTATTGCTGTTGACCTTCATAATTCAGAGATGGAAGCTGTCAAAATTAGCCGCTAAAAACAGGCACTAACTTTCTGAGGTGCTTTACAAATCAATGCAGGAAAGTATTTCAGTCCTGATTCAGTAAAGATGTACATGCCAACCTTCTCCCAGTGAATAAAATACTCAGATGTTTAAAATTACGTGTGCATAAAAATTTGTTGGAGCCCAATCTGAAATTCAGACATTTAAAGGCTGGAACCCTGCAGCTATTTAGCTGCTCACTGCTAACCCTAGACACAAGAGCTGAAGACAGAAACGCAAGAGGATTGTATCCTAGTGAATTAGTATGACATGAGAAGTTTCTCTCTTCTATGTGTCCAACACTGTTTTCTCATGTGTAGGACAGAAAAGCAGTGCGGAAGCATGTTTGTGCTTGTGATATTTGTCCTGGGACTGGTGGCCTGTTCCTGTATGACTCTCTTTCTCCCCCTTTCTTCTGCTGCACTCCAGAGTTAGATCTATGTTATTTTGTAAGTTGTCTTTAAAATATTCATGATTATGATTGTATGTTGATGCCTCCCCCACCTTCCAGGACTTGGATGTGATTTTACCTCTTTGGTCCTGCAAATGCAACTGTATCGCTTCCTGAAATCTTGATGTTTTAGCATCTTTGAGCAGTCTCCCTTCATTGCGTCTTTGGACGTCCTCTTGTTTCTATCAAGACAGTGGTACGACTATTTGTAAAATAGTGAGGTAATGCTAACGCAGGAGGAATTCTGGCTGCTTCTTCATGGCTTCTTCAGCCAGATGTGGTGCTTCTCTGCCTCTCCAGGGTGGCCTTTCTTTTGGTATCTCATCACAAAAGTGGGTTAGGAAACTGCAACAGAAGCTTTTCTCAGAATTCTCCATAAAAACTTAGAAATCTCACTACGCTGACTTGGCCGACTGAGCGGTGTTCATAATAATGTTCTAGGCCCTGCTTCTGTAGTGGCAGCGATACAAACGCGCAATATTGTGTCCGTGCTTCTGTATATGTGGGAAGAAGGTAAAACCTGCTTTTGGTTTCAACCTCTGCCCCGAGAGTGAGGGCAGAAAATGGACTCTTCTGCTTTGAGGGTGGTGGTTGTTCTTTGTGAATTGCTTCATATTTAGGTTAGAAGTCAGATCAGAAGTGTCATCAGGAGTGAGGCCTGTGAAGCTCTTTGTTCAGGGGGAGGTCAGTCCAAGAAAGAGCTCTTTTATGAACATGTGCCTTTTCACCCCTCTGCAGTACCTGCTTGGGGCAGAGAAGTGTCACTGTTCTGATCCATCTTCATCCCAAAAGCCCATGTGTCTTTCAGGTTGACAAGTCCTGCGCTGAGGCTGTTGATTACTTTGAAGGGATACATGAAGACCCCAAAATGGCTCAATTAAAAACCAGTTGGGTTCTTGCCTGGGTAGTTCCCATTACAGGAACAGCTTAGGGCAGGTCAGCTTGCTGGTTTCTTAATATCATGCTGATAGTCTCTCCCCAGGCTGGTGCCTTTTTCTTAATATATGTACAGCAGTACTTCCCCTACAGCCTATTATCACCTTAATAGCTGACTATTTGATTGCCATGTAAAAATCTTGCCACTGTAATGATGACTTAGAGCTTATTTTTTAATAGTTTCTGGGAGATACTTCTTGCAATGACCGGGGATTTTGCTGGGTGAATGGCATCCTGTCATTCTTTTTCCTTATTTTTATTCTGACAGTCTTGGAAATTGTCTGTGCTCTTCCTGCGTGATATGCCCTTGGAGAAGGGCATTCAGCATCCTGCATCTGTCACATAAATACCATCTTCCGTGCTGCAAAGCTGCTACTCCTTCCCTGCTGTTTCCTTAATCAGCACCTATGGCAGAGCAGCAGGCACTGAGTCACTGATCAAACACGGCACTTGCTGTGCAACCCAGCATCTGCTTAAACAGCAGTTATGTCTGTTAATGTCAATGGTTTAATGCAGCTTTTTAGGCAGAATTCCCTGCCACCGTGATCGGTAGGTGTTTGTGCTCCAGAACCCAAATCAGCACCTGGGATAACGTGGTGCTGGGTACGGCACAACAAGGGGTTCCTCCTGCCCCACGAAGTTTGCAGCTCAAGCCTGAGGGGGATCTCCCGTTCTGTGCTCAGGCTGCTGTGCCATTGCCCCTTTCTATGCCAGACTTTTAACAGTTGATTTCCCCACCCCCACCCCACCCCAGTGCAACTGGGGGATATCAATTAAATAAAGCCATCTTTGCAGTAAATATTTGCTTTTTGCAAGCTGTTGCAGTATTGCCTCTTCTAAATTTGTTACGTATGTTTCTCAGGGCAAGGGATGCCAGTGATTTTGACTACGTTCTTACATATTTTTATTGGAATGATACTGGCTAGTTTCTGCAGGTCCTGCTAAAATGCCAGGAGGGTACAGAGAGACGGCACAGCGACCATACCACAGAGAGGGATCCTGGTGGAAAATGAAGAGCAGGAGGGTGGATAGGATGGTGACAAGTCCTTCTTGCATGTTTGTAGGAACAGTTTTGCATCTTCTTGCTGTACTGTTTGACAGGTAAAGATCCTTCAGGCAGGAACTGTGTTTTCTTTTCCCTGCATGGGGCCAATTGTACAGACAGCGCCTTACTAAACAGGAAAGGACTGTTCATCCCTACATGCCTGGGCTATTTT